TACCTCCCAAACAACTCTGTTTACATAACTAATAGAAAATTTTAACATGTTTCTTTTCTTTCATGGAAGAGCTGATCAAACATGTTTTGAATGAGGATGAAAATCAATGTGATGGATAACACGCCAGACAATGTGTATGTGTGTGTGTGTGTGTGCGCGCGCGCGTGTGTGTTTAATAAGTGATATTAAAATTTGCCATTAGAATTTTCCTCAGGATTCAGTGCAATATGAAGGAAAAACACACACTTTGGAAAAACCAACCAACCCCTATTTCTTTTTAACCATTGCCACATCGACCTTCATGTCCATCACTGCTTTTCCTAATATGGCAGCAGCCAATCAATTATATTATCTTGACAGCATCTTAAAAAGTAGAGACATCACCTTGCCAACGAAAGTCCAAATAGTCAAAGCTATGGTTTTTCCTGTTGTGATGTATGGAAGTGAGAGCTGGACCATAAAGAAAGCAGACCGCCAAAGAATTGATGCCTTTGAATTGTGGTGCTGGAGGAGGCTCTTGAGAATCCCCTGGACTGCAAGGAGAACAAACCTATCAATTCTAAAGGAAATCAACCCTGAGTGCTCACTGGAAGGACAGATCCTGAAGCTGAGGCTCCAGTACTTTGGCCATCTCATGAGAAGAGAAGACTCCTTGGAAAAGACCTTGATGTTAGGAAAGTGCGAGGGCAAGAGGAGAAGGGGACGACAGAGGACGAGATGGCTGGACAGTGTCTGCAAAACAATCAACATGAATTTGACACAACTCCGGGCGGCAGTGGAAGATAGGAGGGCCTGGCGTGCTCTGGTCCATGGGGTCACGAAGAGTCGGACATGACTAAACGAAACGAACGACCATTATTGGCTGTCTCATTCTCCTTTTAGCTGAAGAATCACTCCAATGTCTTTTGTTTTCTTTTCCTACAGTTGTGCTTGGGAAATTCCTCGAATGTACAGAAACCCAAGCAGTACCCAAGGCTTCACCTGCTGTTGAATGAGGTGGCAGAAGCCATATGACCTGAATTCCTTTTTATGTGGCATATGTATGAATGGACCACCACAGCAGTAGTAGCCAAAGCTACCCTCATTGATGCCCCCATGACTATTGTTTGTCTCCCATATCATTCTGAGAAGGCTTCTGTGAAGAACGTTGTCAGGTGCACAAATCTATCCCTACAGATAGAGGTAGGCCCAAATGTTTGGGTACAAAGCATCCAAAGAGGCTCTTCCTGAAATCTCTTGGGGCACACAAGCCATGCAGCAAGAGATCAGGGGCCTGGCCAGCTCTTGAAATGTCCATGTGATGGCTGGGTCTCTGCTGTGATAGTACTACGCCCGCAAAGCACCTGTTATGGCTCTCTAGAAGCCTACAAAGGTACAAGACTGGTTTGGGAGAGTCAAGCTCAACCGTCCTTAAGCAAGACTGTGTGGAACAGCTGTAAGAGTCCTCTTCACTGGACTCCGCAGTCTCTTGGTTCTTGTACTCTGTCACCTGAAATGGTGTTCCATAAGCCTTCAGTAGACTCTGTGGAATTTAGATGAACTAGGGCATGCCTCATCAGGTCAGCAACAGGAAAATAGAGGAATGGTAGTGAGTGGCAGAAGCAAAGGGCAATATGAAGGTTCAGAACACAGTTTTGATGAATTTTTTAAATTCACTCCTATACCAAAGGGCAGGTGTCTCCAAACTTTTGACTGTGAGGGATATACCGGATATTTCCAACATTTTTGAGAGCCCAAGTAACAGGAATGTGTGCAGATGCATGCACCCACAGAAGCACACATGCACACACCCCTCTGCCCCCCCAAATGCACTTCCACTCTCTCTCTCTCTCTCTCTCTCACACACACATACACACACACGCGCACACACACACACACACACACACACACACACACACACACACCCCTGCCTGCCTGCCTGCTCCCCCCTAAATGTGGCCACATGGGCTGAAGGGAACGGGCTGGATTAAATGGCAAGGAAGGCCAGATGTGGCCTGCAGGCCATAGTTTGGGGACCCCTGCCAAAGGGCATTGAAGGTGTTTTGGTGTTGCCTATCTTTTTAAATATTTTATTAGCATTGTATACTCAAGGATGATATGTTAAATACTTAAGATTTGTTGTTAGCCACTCTAAGTTCTTTTTGAAGGAGAAAGGAGGGATAATTTCTTTTCTAAAGAAATAAAGAAAGAAATAAAAAATGCTTAAGAAGTTAGAAAGCATATTATGTTGGTCTCTCATTAAATGAAATCTAAAACAGGAATTCAAATCCAGTATATTTGAAAAATGCCAGCTTCTCAGAACAGGTCTTCAATGCCAATGTTAAGGCAAAAGTGGATGGAGGCAATGAGGGAATGGTGGATGGAGAAACAGACTAACAGGTAAGATGGCTACACTTTCATAAAGATGAATAATCCCATGGCTTTTGTCCCTTCCTTATATCTTCCTGGTTGCCCTGCTTGATCATCTTATATTATCATTTTCTATGGCCATTATGCTTCTTGAAGATTTTTAGTGCATTGCTGTCCAGCAGGGCATTGAATGTGTTTTGGTATGGCCTATTTTTTTTAGTATTTTATTCATTTTGTTCCTTTCATATTCCATACTCATTGTTAGCTTAGATACTTTTGATTGTTGTAGACCAACCACCCTGAGTCATTTTAAAGGAGAAAGTTTGCATAATTTCTTTTCAAAATGAATTTAGAAGATGGTTTTCCTGTCAGAAAAGTGAGTGGGCCCATGGCTTTTGTTTATTCCTTACCTCTGTCTGGTTGCCCTGCTTGATATTTAGCAATGACATCATTGTACATCATAATAGTCTAGGGCTGTTGTGCTCCTTGCTCCTCCCCCAACAACTGGCCAGTTACCATAGGAACCGCCCTAAACAATTTGGCATCCTCATCATTCCATTGCCTACTCTTTACTGGACACTCATTCCGGAAGTAGGGCTGTGGGTGCTTTGTTCCAAATTTGAAAAAAAAAAATCCTCACTCTTTTCATTTGACATGGCAGGTAAGAGGTTTTGCCCTTTGGAGATTCACATGGATCTTTCCTTTCTTTATTTTTCCCAGATGGTCACACGGAAGCCAACTGTGAAGCTAGGGATGCATAGCTGGGAAATGCATAAGAACTTTGACTAGGCTGGAGCAGGTCAAACACCTGTAAGTAGATGAAGGAACAGAAAGGGGGCCATGAGAATGGGGTTTAGTATCACCATGCCTAAGGCCTCCTCAGTGACCTTCTATGGCACTTGGATTAGACTGAGAAGCCAATGGGCCTGTAACTGATATTTTCCTCAAGAAATTAACAACTCCAAAAAGGGAAAGGAGAGCCCCCACTCTCAGGGCTGACCTGTCTATCGGGACATCTAGATGCTCTGAGCAGGTCTCTTTGCTTTGTTTTGGGAAAGGGAATGAGACAAAGAAACCTTTCAAAGCTCTAAGGGGAGACTTCCTTCAAATATCTCTGACACATAGCTTGGAGGGGCTTCTTCAGACAAGTGTTTGTGTCTACACCAAACCTTTAGACTGGTCTTAATTTCGGATGAATCTTCCTCAGCCAGGGAATTTGGCAGTGCTGGTTTTCATTTGCTTGTCTTGCTTGGACTTACTTTTTAACTCTTAAAAGACACTTGGCCTCCCAGCAAAAAAATTAATTCTACATAAAAATTAAAACAATAGAGCTCAACAATCCAATTCAAAACCCCTCTCAGACCATCAGTCCTTAAGGAAAAGCCTGCCTAAAGAGAAAGTTCTCTGCCTGCTTGCGGAATGACAACAAAGATGGGCCAGCCTAGCTTCCCATGAGAGGGAGTTTGAGCATCTGGGAGCAGCAATCAAGGAGGCCTACCATGTCCTGTGTCCAAGTACACCTGTGATGTGGTGGGACCCAGAGAAAGGCATCCCTCAATGATTTTAGAGCTCGGGCAGGCACATAGAGGGAGATGTCGTGTTTTAGATAGCTTAGACCCAAGCCATTTTGGACTTATAGTTGTAATCAAAATAATTCAACCTTCATTGCAAATTAGGCTGATTGTCAAAATTTGCAGACTTTCAGCTGTTTACAGTGAATAAATCAAACAAAAGCAATTAAAACGGTTTCTCCAAATTTAGCTGAAAATGCAACTTGTAATGAATTCTGTCTCACAATTATGCAACCCCTTCATGGCAAGCATCTTTAGTATTTAGTTGAGCACCCTTTTGCTGTCCTGCCCTGCTGCAAACAAGATGCAGAGCCAGACCCCAGCTTCTGGCAGCATTCCAGAAAAATCTTAGCCCATTCCTCATAACCAGTGGCCTCTAGTTCAGGAATATTCTTGGGTTTTCATTCTGCAACCGCCTTCTTCAAATCCAACCAGAGATCTTCTATGGGGTTCCAGTCAGGTGATTGTGATGGCCACTGTAGAATTTTCCAGGACTTCTTCTGCAACCACGCCTTGGTGGAATTTGAGGTATGCTTGGATCATTGTCTTGTTGAAAGGGCAAATGACACCCAAACTTCAGCTTCCTCACAGATGGCATGACGTTTCTTCCTAGGATTTCCTCATTCTTCAATGTATCCAGCTTGCCTTCCAAATGCTGCAGGTTTCCAGTACCAAAGGATGCAAAGCAACTCCAGAGCATCACTTAGCCAGCACCACGCTTAACTGTAGACAGAGAGTTCTGTTCAGCATAGGCTTCTTTCTCCTTTTTAAAGAGATACTGCTGATCCATTAGGCCAAAAAGTTCAAGTTTTGTTCAGAAACTGGCTGTAGGCTTTTGAACCTTCAGGAGGTTCCAAACATTTTCCAAAGGGAGCCCCATGTGCAGTATGTCACAGTAGCCTACCCGAGATGTAACTAGGGCATTTGTGGGAGTGGGCATGGCAATATTGGTTTAATTGAGAAGTGAAAGGGTATCTATGTTTCTTCACTGCATCTCTGCTTCACTGTATCTGCTCACACCTTTGCTCCACCATTTCATTCCGTCTGAAACAGCCTTTTCAAAATATTTCCAGAGGGATTCCAGCCACCTCCAAGCTGTTCTGTCTTCTCCCAGTAACTACAGTAGAGATCACATCTTCATCTTCTGGAGTCCTCAACCACTGGGTAATTCTATATGGCAGAAGTTTCTGATTGAATTGGTGTGTAGAATATGTATATACAAACTTCTGCTTGAAAAAGCCAGGATGTTCTATTCTTCAGAAATCCTCCCATTTGTGAATGTGAAATATTATGTTTCTGTGCTCACTATTCAAAAGGCAAGAAATGGCCCAATATTGCTGCGCAATATCATATCCATGTAATCAACAGGAAAAATGATACCAAACTTCACATAACAAAGGGCAGTTAGAATGAAGTTTTTTAATGAATTCCTGTACCGCAGGGCAGAGGTTGTCAACCCTCAGTCCCTGGCCTGAGCCAGACCGGGCCGCAGAGACAGAACTCCTGCCCCCCCCCCCCATGCACTCACCTCCCCACAGCTGCTTTGTGCATGAGTGTGCATTCCAGCACTGGCGTGAGCACTCCCCCACCCCTTCATGCATGTGGCCAAGCACCCACGTGAAAGGCTGGGCAGGTGTGCTGGAGACCATGCAGGCGCTCATGCACGAAGGGGTGGGGGAAACATTCATGTCAGCACTGGGAGGTGCCCCGCTTTCCTCAGAGGCTCAGCTGGTCCACAGTCATAAAAAGGTTGGGGACTGCTGCCGTAGGGCATTGAATGTGTCTTGGTATGGCCTATGGTTTTTTCAGTATTGTATTCATTTCATTCTTTTCGTACTGTATACTCATTGTTAGCTTAAATACTTATAATTGTTGTAGACCATCCTGAGTCATTTTAAAGGAGAAAGGTTGCATAATTTTTTTCAAAATGAATTTAGAAGATGGTTTCCCAGTCAGAAAAATGAAAGGGCCCATGGCTTTTATTCCTTTCTTAGCTGTGTCTGGTTGCCCTGTTTGATCTTTGGCAATGACATCATTGTACATCATAATACTCTAGGGCTGTTATGCCCCTTGTCCCTCCCCCACCAACCGGCCAGTTACCATAGGAATGGCCCTAAACAATCTGGCATCCTCATAATTCCATTGCCTTGCCTACTCTTTACTGGACACTCATACCAGGAGGAGGGCTGTGGGTGCTCAGCTCTGAATTTGAAAAAAAAAAAAAAGATTCCTCAGTCTCCCGATTTGCCATGGCAGGTAAGAGGTTTTGCCCTTTGGAGGTTCATATGGATCTTTCCTTTCTTTATTTTTCCCAGAGGGTCACACGGAAGCCAACTGTGAAGCTGGGGATTGTGGCATTTACCGACATGGCCCTTGCTTGTTTCACCAAACACAGAACTCATGTGAGTATCCCATCATGCCCTTTACCTCACTGCCACAAGTTGATCTCTTTACCAGCTATGTTTCCTATGAAAGACTGAGGCCCATTCAATACTTAACTTTGAAATAAAAACAGGTTTATTGATTGCAAGTTGTTTTAGGAATCGTTATTAAGCACATTCTTAAAATTACACAAAGCTCCAGTATTTTCCTTTAACCTTTTCTATCTTAACTAATACCGATAATACTTGGATTAGACTGAGGAGTCAATGGGCCTGTAACTGATATTTTCCTCAAGAAATCAAGAACTCCGAAAAGGAAGAGAAGGAGAGGCCCGCTCTCAGGACTGACCTGTCTATGGGGACATCTAGATGCTCTGAGCAGGTCTCTGTGCTTTGTTTTGTGAAAGAGAAGGAGACAAAGAAACCTTTCAAAGCTCTAAGGGGAGAGTTCCTTCAAATGTCCCATCACTTGGTGGGGTTCCTTCAGATGAGTGCTTGTGACTACACCAAACCTTTAGACTGGTCTTAATTTCGGAGGAATCTTCCCCCGGCATGGAATATGTGAATCCTTGTTTTGATTTGCTTGTGTTGCTTGGACTTACATTTTAGCTCTTAAGGGACACTTGGCCTCCCAGCAAAAACCAGCTGCCCTCAATTCTAGACTCCTTTTCGGAGTCTCGCTTTTATGACAGGGGGAAGAACTTGGTGTCTCCCTTTTATGACAGGGAGAAGGACAGATGATTCTTTAACATCTGACAATCAGGTCCAGGGGAGAATATACCAATAGAAAGACCAAAATTCAATAAATCTTTTAAAATACCCTCAAAATGTACAAGCTCCTATCATAGGATCTGGAGAAAAGGCAGAGGGGTCCCTTCTTGTGCATAAGAGGAAGAACAAAACGGCAGCAGGAATGAATGCAGGATGCAAGAAACAAAAGACCACAGCCGTTTTTCCTGATCCTGAAGCAGAATAAAATCTTACATTTCAGAATATCATCTGTCCGAGGGAGATCCACAATAGATCAACTAATAAGGCTGAGCAGTGTATAATGGCCTGTCCTATTCATTTTTCTTATAGGCAAGAAGCACAAGACGGAGTCAAAACCCCTTCTAAGTCACAGTGTCTCACCAAAAGAGACCAAAGCAACATCTGGAGGAAGCCATCAGGGGATCTGAAGAATCCATCCCTATCATGCCACAGAATGTGTCAAGTTCCGAAATGCCAGCCTCTCCATTCCACCCAAAGAGCCTCTCATCCACCTGCCCCAAGTAAGAACAGGAGTCTGCAGGAGTCCTGGGCAGATGCATCTATCTACCTCTGCAGTTCCATTTCCCTTCATGGAGGAGCTTTAGACCCCTTTTGTTCAGGAATTGTTTTTCCCCAGCAGGAGGCTTCCTCTTTCTTCAAGGGGACAGTTCTATGGGTCTCCACAGCCTGTGCCCAAATTAGAGCTGGTACACCTCTCTCCTCCACTTCAGGGGCAGAATCATCAAGATGACAAAGAAGCCTCCCTGCCAGGAGCATGAGAGGAGAAAGGCTGAAGGAGATCTATCAAGCCCAGGAGAAGACAACCCCCACCAAATGAAGGAGAGACGTGCCTCAAGGTTCTGAAGGGAAAAAGCCTGGAGGCTGAAAAACCCATTCCCACAAATAAGGTGGCAAAAGAAGTGGTCGATAAGAAGGGCATGGCAACCTCACTGTCACCTGTTGTAGGGCCAAAAAAGCAGATGCAGGATCCAGTGGTTTGAAGTCAAAAGTCCTGCAGACAATTCCTGAAGGAGCCTTTCTTTTATTATACTGTATTGTTTTTACTTTTATGCATTATTGTTAGCTGCCCAGAGTAGACTTTGGTCTAGATGGGTGGGGCAAAAATTAAACAAACAGACAGACAGACAGACAGAAAGACAGACAGACAAACAAATAAATAACAAATAAACAAATAAACAAATAAACAAACAAATAAATAAATATCAGTCCCAATTTGAAAGCCATGGGAAGGTGAAGCTGACTGTCCCCTTCCCTAGCAGCAGAGGAAAAAATGAAGAGACTGTGAAGACAGTTGAGATGCGCTACAGACCAATCCGTAGGAATAATTTGGAGTGGAACGTGGTGGAACCAACCAGTGAGTTCTACCCACTCAGGAAGGGTAAATTCCCACCACTAACACTGAAAAAAGAGCTCCCAAGGACAACCTCCACGTCCTCTCTTCTGCAAAAGGCCAGTGCAAGAATGCTGGTTCCCTTCCTCAGCCACCCATGATTCGCCCAAACTGGGAAAGGATCACAAACAACAGAGAGTCATCCCTAACAGTTGTGGGCCATGGTGTGGAACCCCTTACTTTCCCCATAATAAGGGGAAGCCTTGGTGAGGTAAGGGAAGCCCTATGTTCAGTGGGAAAAGGAAATGGAGATTCCCATCCCCTATGGCAACCCTTGATATTATTCAGAAGCTGAGCACTTGGTTCTGTCGACCAAAGGGAAAGCGGTCTCGGTTATTTAAGAGTGCTAATTAGTTTTAGATATTTATAGTTTTATAAGATAGGTATTACTGAATGACATCAAATAGGTAAGTAAAACCTCAATTACTTTTTGTAAAGATTTAACCAAATCTTTTTCATGACTCTCTTCATGAAAGAGGGTCTCAGGAAGAATTGGAACACATAGGTTCAGGCTATTTTTAGGCTGCATTTAGGCACAAATCCATTAATGTCTGTATGTGAGTTGGTATATATGTATAAGTACATGTAAATGAGTTGAAAGGAAATGATTAATAGTCATAAATGTTTAGTCAGTACAGGCAAAAATATTTTCCATATGACTATATTTTAATGTATTTTCTAGCTTTGTTTTGTTTGTTAGTCATTGTCTTCTCATTTGTACATTTACCAGGTTACACATGACTAGAGATGGGGACATATTAAAAAATGGCAATTCATTTTGATCCATTATTCATCAAGGTTAAAGGATCTACGAATCTACGAATATTCTTAATGAATCGACAGATCAGTCTGTCAATTCATCTGCATTTTAAATGGCTATAACACTGGCCCCCAATAACAGAGACAAAGCAGATTTGCACAAAACCTTCCTCAGATGCTTTCCTACAACTCCTAAAAGTTTGGTGAACATTAGATCACAGACCTCTGAGTAATATAGTCACAAAGAGGACCCCCCCCCTAGGAAAGCTCCCCCAAGGTACTCAGAATCACAACAGAGCTTCCTATGTCTTTCCCCAATATGCCTGCCAACTTTGGTGAAGACTGAATATAGGAACTCCAAGTTATTCACCCACAAATTGGGTCTCCCCAGGAGAGTTTAGCACATGGCACAGATGCTCATGGCACTGAGGGAGTTATATTTAGCCCCAGCAGAATGAGAGGTCCCTTTGGCAGAGGCATGCATGAGGTATTGAGTTTGTCTTCAGCTCAGCACAACATTACATTTGCCAGTGAAGAAGAGTTTGCCCTCAGGAGGACTGGAGGCAAGGAGGTATTTGGCAGCACAGCAGGCTTTTTGGCTCTGCTGGGCACTGAGGAAGTTGGCGACAGGAAAACAGGCTCTTTTGGCCGCACTGGGCACTGAGGTAGTTGGCAGCACCAAAGGACCGTGTCCTGCCCCATCGGGGCCCTGAGGCAAAAGGCAGCAGAGCAGACTCTGGTCTTCTTCAGCAACATCAGATTTCCCTGCAAAGGAAAGGTTTTTAACCCCAGGAGGCAACTGAGGTTACTTGCAACTTCCAACAGCACCAGCAGATAAAAAGAGTCGGTGCTACTAACAACAGTTAATCCACGGGGCTGCGGGGCTGTCGGAAACAGATCAGCTCTGCAATCTGAAGCCAGGCGATGGGGCAACAAAGATGCTTGTTTAGAACTGGAAAGCTGGGGATTGCTTGCAACTTGGCTGCTGAGACTGCCCGGATATGATAAAGATAGCCCTTGGAGGTTTTTTGGGGGGGCTTACATAGGCCAGCCCCCTTGGCACAGGTTGAAAACCAGATGAGCTCTGCCGTCTGAAGCCAGGCGATGGGGTGATGGGGCCACGCCTGGACAGGCTCTGGGTGGGGCAGAGCAGACAGACCTTTGGAATGTAGCCCAAGTGGAAGGAGCTGCAGGATTAGGAAATTGTTCAAATGGCCAGCAACTTTGTTGACTTTTTGCCCCATCAGGCACTGAGGATGTTCGCAGCCAGAAAGCAGACTTTTTGGCCCTATCGGGGCACTGAGGCAAAAGGCAGCCACAGGATACTCTGGTCATCTTCTTCTGCAACATCACATTTGCCTGCAAAGTTACTTAGGTTTGTCCCCAGGAGGCAACTGAGGTTGTCAAGGCAGCAGCAACAGCAGGAGAATAGGGTCTGACTGCAAGGTGCTACTAACGCCTGTTAATCAAGGTGGCCGCTGGGCTTCTCGAGCGGAAGATCAGCCATTTGAATCCATGCAATGGGGTGACCTGAAATCTTGTTCCTTGTTCCTGCATATGCTTACCTACTGAGTTAAACTGCTCCTGAGTCACTAGGCTTGTTGATTGGAAGGTCAGCAGTTTGAATCCCTGAGCTCCTGTGGCTTGTCCCAGATTCTGCCAACCTGCTTTGAAGCATCATGTTGGCATGGGACCTCTTGATACGGGGATGCCAGGACAGGCTTGGGGGGGGGCAGAGGAAAAAGAACAGGCAAAGGCAAAAGGAAGGAAGCAAAATGAAAGAAGACTCTTGTCTTCTTCAGCACAAAGGTAGTTCGGTTTGCCCCCAGGAGGCAACTGAGGTTGCACAACTGCAACAACAACAGCAGATGAATAGGGCCCAAGGTGCTACTAACGTAATGGTTAATCCATGGGGCCGCTGGTGAGCTAAGCTCCCTTAGTTTCTTCCAAGTTCTGCCTACCTACTGAAGCTGTAGAATAACCAGGAAGCTGGAATGAACAATCTTCCAGTTTTGGGTGGGCCTGAGACAGGCCCTCTTTGGCACAGGGGATGCCTGGACAGGCTTGGGGGTGGCTTGAGACAGGCCTGGTTGGCACTTGGATGCCCAGACAGGCTTGAAAGGAGACTCTTGCCTTCTTTGGGAACATCACATTTGTCTGCGTAGTTAAGTTTGCCCCCAGGAGGCAACTGAGGTTGCACAGCAGCAACAACAGATGAATAGGATGGTGCTACAAACATAATCGTGGTTAATCCACGGGGGCGCTGGGCTTCTCGAGTGGAAGATGAGCTCCCATAGTTCGTTCCAGGTTCTGGCTAGCTGAGGCAGTAGGAAGCTGGTATGAACAGCCAGGTATTAGGAATGAAGCCCTAGTGGACTTTGTAGCACTAATGCATCGTTTGAATAAGCAGGAAGGCAGGCAGGAAAGAAAGATCTTGGCCCAATGAGGCATCTGCAGCAGTCAAGATTTGGAAGGCCCTTGGCCTGATTCTTGGCACAGAATCAGCAGCAGACAAGCTCAAGGTAGGATTTGGGATTTGGGGCCAACATGGCCCAAGGAGGCCCAATTGATGCTTGGTGAGGTGAGGGGGACATAGCAGCAACAGTGTGGCACTGTGGGTTAAACATCTGAGCCACTGGGATTGTCCATCAGAAGATCAGCACTGCAGTTTGAATCTGTGCGACGGGGTGAGCTATGTCCCTTTGCTTTTTACCCAGCTTCTGCCAACCTACAGGGACAGTAGAGGAAGCTAGGAGGCCGGAATGAACAGGCATGAATAACTGGAATGAAGCCCAAGGAGGCTGGAATAATGAAATACGCATAAATATGCATTTCTGAGATTTTTCGGAATAAATGAATCAGCTGATACTCATCCTGGAGATAGGGAGGGACATGCCACACACAGCACATCTCAGGAGGAGGGAGCACATTGGTCAGGTTTGGGAGGGGTTGAACCTGGCCCTCTTGGCACGGGGATGTCCGAGGAGGGTAGGACACTGAAGTCAGCAAGCAGCATTTGAGAATAAAGCCTGAGGAAGTTGGAATGAGCACGCAGGCCTTTTGGAAGTGGAAGGAGCTGCAGGACCCTGAAAGTTGTCATGTATCCAGCAACATAGACTTTTGGACCAATCAGGCACCGAGGACGTTGGCAGCAAGGTAGACAGTGGTGTTGCAGGTTAAACTGCAGTGCTGAGCCACTGGGCTTGTTATAGGTGCTGTTGTTGTTCTCCATCTTGGTACGGGGGATGCCCAGACAGGCTTGGGGGGGCAGAGCCCCCCAACCCACTGTGGCAGAGAAGCCAGAAAAGTTCAAAAAGAAAAGCCCTGCCAGCCAAGTCTCAGAGTCTCACACACACACACACACACACACACACACACACACACACACACACACACACACACACACACACCAAATGTTTTGGAAGAAAAAGGAAAGATGGATCCTGCCACCCACCAAATTCCCTGAGAGACAGAAGCCTCTCTAAAATAAACTCTTGAAAACTGAATATAAAGGAAAAGAGATTCTACAGTCAGACAACAATGGTCTCCCCCCCCCCAGACCGGATGATACACACACACAAGCCTCCAGGGGAAAAAAAGTTTTGATTGATTTGAGTTTGAAATAAAATTAAGCCTTTCGAAAGAAGTAGCCTAAGCTACCTGAAATCCCTCCCCAAATTCCCAGTAAAGTTGATGATGATTGATGAATGATGATGAAAAGGAAGAATAAAGCCTTTGCTTTGCTGCCGCAAAAGTGAAACCGCAAGAGCACCAGCAAGCCAGCGAGCAGCAACTGTTCTCACTCTGGACAGCACGAACAGAAGTGCGGAACAGCTTATACGAAGCATCTGTAAAAGTAGATACACCTTTCAGCAGTGTTA